AGAAATATTAATATAAAGTTCGTAAATAAATACTACCGTTCATACAATTAAAACATTAAAATACCAACTAGCAGACGAAAATCGACTAGGTATTAAAATATTGTCGTTTGAAAAAAATTCCGTCTTGCGAAAGAAGCCTTTTTATGGGTTATACAGGCTATATTTTTTTACCATAAATCCATCTACGTCTATATACATGGCACCTGTCTCTTGTTTAGAGCAAAATGGAAACTTGAATTTATAATATGAAGAAAAGTTTATACTATGAACTAACAAAAACCTTTCGACACATGTTCATGCGACGAAAACAATAGGTTGCGTGCGACTCATCATTCACCCCAAAGATCAAACAGAATTCAAACAAATTAGAAAGTTGTCCTAGATGTGTTCATTTTAGGGCGTGAAATGTTGTACTTTCTTTTCACTCAAGTTTTAGTGAATAGTGAGTGCCTTTTGTGATTCGTTTTGTTTTTTAGCAGTGCTGTATACAGTTCTTATCATGCGTCTACTGTATCATGATGGCTCATGTATGACACGCGGTGACATTGAGAAGGAACATGGAAGTTTTTTTATAAGAATCTTACGAAAAAAGTGCCCGTTTCGTGTGCCTTTCTTATATAAGGCTTTTGCAAGAATCTGATAAGAGTGTTATCTGGTTCTTTACTAAGGAACTTAAAAGATTTTTTGATCAATGAGTATAATACTGCGATAAAGTACTTGATAAGATCGTATCAAGATCCTATATAAGAAAACTGAAGTGCGTTTTCAATAAAACTATTCAGGTAGAGAATTTATATAGCATTACACACGTTCGTATTATCAGTTTTTGCCAACCGTGATTGAAGTATACTTACTCTCCTTTATTGACACTAAAGAAATAAACAATTGATAAGAAAAAAAGATTGTTGTTAGAAAATATCAGATTTTATGAGTGAAATAAAAAGATACTTTTAAAAACTGAATACTTTTGAAAGTATGAGTTCGTTTTTCTTCTGCTTAAGAAATCGGTGGATAGTTTTAAGTTAACACGCATGTCTTTGGTGAGTATTACACGTTATTTTACTTTCTCTAGTTGCTGAATAGAATCAGGCAGCTGTTTTCGGTTGATGGAAAGGGTAAATTTGTAAAATCTTTTAATTTGAATCAGAATTATAGTTTTTACAGATTAAACACTTAGACGCTTTTCTATATAGTGCTAGTTGGTATTTTAATGTTTTAATTGTATGAACGGTAGTATTTATTTACGAACTTTATATTAATATTTCTAACCTCCTTGGCTGGTGTTATGCTTACATGAACTTCACGTATTGTGCAGGTCCATTTGAGACAAACTACGGTATTCAAACGTTTCTCTTCGGAAATCTATAACTTTTGTACAGCTTATCGAGCTCAAAAGATTTACGTTTGATACAAATTTAAGTATGATGTGGACCTTGAGAAAATTTCGTTGTATTCTCATAGCATGAGTAGCACCATTTTCCACCTTTTTTGATGAACTGCGAGGTTTCGTTCTTTATATTACGTCTTATTAGAGCTAACCGTTTGAAGTTCACGTTTGAAGTGGTAGTCAAATACTAAGGTGCGCACAATGCAAAAGTAAAGCAACATTTTTTTCTTAATTTATTATACATTGTTGGAGAGAGTTTATCACACTGATTAAGAAAATGTGATTTTTAAGTTGTCAAAATGTATTTTTCACCTCGAAAAATCGAGAAAACTTGAAAAAGCGACTATATTTAAAATGTTCGAATTTCCAACTTGTTTGTTAATTCCGCATGTTTAAACTATTTTTTTCTAATTCAGCGTTAAAAACTGAATTAAGAAATGATATTAGATCCATTTCAAAGATAAAAGCCTGCCCAGAATGGACATCCGAAAGTAACCTTGATAAAAAAAGGGTGGATCATTTTGTAAACTCCATCTAGTTTTTCCTGTGAAGGGCTGGGGCCTCATCGGTGTTCTGCTTGTAATTCTCAATTTTCCCAATCAAAACGCAACTTTAATGCAATAAAAATATCATATTTGGAATCACGATCAAAAACTGAGCTGACTAATCTGTTTCGAAATTTTTAGCTGATTCTCAGTTTTGTGTGAAAATGTCCGTAATTTTTTCAACGTGAACATTCGAAAAAATGAAAGTAGTCGGATAAGGTAGAAATACAGATTAGGCGACTCAGTTTTTGATCCTGATTCCGAACAGGATATTTTTATTGCTCAAAAGTTGATTTTTGATTAAGAAAATTGAGAATTACGGGCAAAATGCTTTTTTGCCTCTAATTTAGAAAAAATGAATTTTCTCAGCAACGAAGAAAATTTTTAAAAAACAAAATTATACTTTTAAAGCCGGACTGGCGGCAAATTCCATAAAGTACAAATGAGAGCTCCAGTCCTTCACAGAAAAAACTAGATAGAGTTTACTTAATTTTTAGTTTGAAAATGATCCACCCTTTTTTATCAAGGTTACTTTCGGATGTCCATTCTGGGCAGGCTTTTATCTTTGAAATGGATCTAATATCATTTCTTAATTCAGTTTTTAACGCTGAATTAGAAAAAAATAGTTTAAACATGCGGAATTAACAAACAAGTTGGAAATTCGAACATTTTTAAATATAGTCGCTTTTTCGAGTTTTCTCGATTTTTCGAGGTGAAAAATACATTTTGACAACTTAAAAATCACATTTTCTTAATCAGTGTGATGAACTCTCTCCAACAATGTATAATAAATTAAGAAAAACAAAATGTTGTTTAACTTTTGCATTGTGCAGCTTACATTTTCTGAAAAAAGAAAGTTTCTCTGATTAGCTGTTGTTACTGAATTTAAATAAAATAGTTTTACACTTTAATAAAGTTAACATAGAGATTTATTGTTCAATATCAGATGTCGCTAGTTGATAATGTTTGAAATTTTGGACCTCTAATAGTTAAATATATTTTCAATTTTTAGTATGAGAATATAAAATTTGTGATGCAAGAATTACAAACTCCTAATGCGACTATACTTAGACGACAACACTATTTACTTGAATGTATCGAATGTTATTTAAAATTATCCGATGCTGACTTTCTGGAAAAACTTGATCAGCCATGTCTAGATGAAATTAACGCTTATAATAGTACCTTCTTTTATAAATGGTATAATACTGATCAAACACAATTTAACAATGAATCCTTTCAATATATTCAACTTGCTCTTCAATTAAATGGAAGAATATCAACACTTGTCAATCGTACAAGTTCATCGAAAAGTATTCAACGGGTAAAACATTTGTTATTTAACGATGACTGTATTAAAATTCTATCAAAAATATTGAAACAAATCAATAGTACAGATTCTCTTCATCATGATGAATTTTTATTAATAATTTGTAGTTGGCTTGATGTTTTAGCATCATTTAAAAATGAACATTCACAAGAAAATTATTCACAATTTTTACCATTAATAACAGTTATACATGAATGTCTAAATTCACAATGGAATAAAAAATATTTGTCGAATATCATCAATAATAATGAAAATCCTGATGAATTCACACCAGCACATTTATTTTATATTGGTACATGTCCCTTTCTAATGGGTTTATATTTGGATGATCCTGGTATTCAATTATTTGAAGATTTATTTATGATGTATCGTCAATATATAATTTCTTACTCAAAATATATTAAAGACTCAAGAGTAATGTATTGTCTCGTTGGAATTTTCTCGTACACTACTCATTATTGTTTAATTAGTGATAAATTATTCCATAATGATACGGAACTATTGACATGTATATCTATGATTCTTCATCAACCTTGTCGTCATCTGATTAATTCTACATGGTCTAATAATGAGACAAAATTAATTGATTTTGTTCTATTATTTTTATTAAAATGTTGTTCTAGCTCTAAAACAATGGCATGTTTTCTTGATGAAAAACAAATAATGGTATTAGACATTCTCGATCTCGTGACATCGGCGTATGTTCGAATTCGTACATCAGCATGTCTACTATTAGCACAAATAATTGATGTTGAACAAATGAGAAAATATAGAATATGTCATAAATTAACGATGAAATGTTTAGAATTACTAGAAGAAGGATATAATCAAACAAGTGTCCCGATAGATTTGATATCCTATAGTTTTTTAATTTTATCAATTCATGAAGATGTTCAATCTTTGACGGCACATCTCAATATTATTCCATGGCTTATTAAAATGCCAGGAGCACCATTTATCTATGAAATTATTTGGTCATTATCATTTCATCAAGATATTCAACAAAAACTTATGCCATTTAAACAACAATTACAAATTGACAGTAAAAGCTCAGATACACGTGTATCAAAAATAGCACAAGGTATACTATGGAATCTCGAACCAAAAATAGGTCCATTTACCGCAGTTCAATTTGATGCAATGATAAGCTATTGTGACAATGATAAAGAAATAGCTCAACGAATTAAAATCGGCTTAAAAGCAGCTGGAATCAAATTATGTGAATCAGATAATAATAACATGACAGATATTGATATGAGCAATTTTATTATTATGTGTATTAGTGAAGATTATAAACACAATTCTTATTGTCAAGCACAAGTTAAATATGCACAAGTTAAACATAAGAAACTTGTACCATGTATTATACAATCACATTATCGCATTGATGATTGGCTCACTTATATTATGGAAAATTTGATTCAAGTTGATTTTGTTAAAAAAAATTTTAAACTATCTCTTAATCAATTAATATTACAAATGTATCCTCAACATGATTTAACTAATAATCATTTACCAACAATTCCTCAAGTTCGACGTCAGAGTCTTATTCCAGTGCGAGTTAAATCTGTAAAAATAAAAACAAAAAGATTACAAGATTGGTTAGATACAGATGTTCTCGAATGGTGTCAACAAACAAAATTACCAACATTTTTTAAAATATTAACAAATAATGATGGCAATAGTTTATTGAAATTATATGATTTATCTAAAACAAGTTCACCTCAAGCCGTTATTAATCTATTAAAAAATGATTGTCGAAAACAAGGTGTACAATTATCTTTTACTGAATATATACGTTTTCAAAGTGCATTAGAAAAATTGGTACAGAATCAGAATGGAAATATGAAACAGTCTGTCTATAGACCTTTGAATCAATATGTTCTCAAAAGCAAACCAAATAATATTACAGATCAATGGTAGATTAGACAATAACTTGGCTCTGTTCATAGTAAATTTAATATATTGGAAGATTAAACAATTTATTTTCATATTTTTAGTATGAAATTCTATTTCTTTTGCTACATGTATAAAAATTTGAAACAAGGTATAATAGAAATAATGTTCTCTATTTAGTACACACTGAAAGGATTAACAATGGATCAACAATATGAAGGTGCTCGTATAAAATTTTCGACTTGTGAAAATTTTCGAATTTTGTCTTATATAGAACAGAACGTGTAACGTTTTTGTGCTGTTATATTCAAAAGTATTCATTCACCTTGCAGTCTTTGATTTGAAGTTTAGTGGTGTCTAAAAACGTCATGTCCAAAAACAAGCAGATTATTATATTTTATTTTTGATATTTTCACACTAGGAACAATATTCGATACTTTCATACGGTTTTTTTCATATATTCGAAAATGTTTCTTTTGCCTAACATAGAAGAGATGTGTTGAATGAGAAAACAATCTCAAGATTTGTAGAATTAACCAAACTAAAACTACGAACGTAAGAGTTTTTATAATGACGTTCTTTTATTTTGAAATGACATCCGATAGGACTCAAAAGTTGAGCAAACGTACGAAAAATATTTTTTCAATTTTCATCGCTGATCACGAATTACTTTTTATAATCGTTAATGATTAAGCGCTTCCTGTGTGAGATTGCAAAATTCCGAACTTCAGAAATTCATTAAAAAATTTCGTCTGAATATGTTCTAGTCTAGACAAGTTCGAGAGCTCATCGAGTTACTCATGCGAAGACGTTTGCAAAACTGCCATACAAATTTTGTTAATAACGTTAAAAAATTTTTAATTTTAACACGTGAACGTTTGAACTATTCTTTCAAAGTTTTCGGTTCTGTCTCAAGTCTCATAACGATCAAAAACTTCCTGAAATATGAGATGTTAGATGCTATATGAAGAGAATTGTCAATTCTAACATATCATAAACGATTTTTGTACAAGCTTTGAGAAGTTTTATAAAATTTCTTAATTTTACGTGTTTATGTTCTTCATCGAATACAACATTGTGCTCAGATATAATTTTTAGCTGTTTCTATGTTCAAGTAGCATTTTTGAGAGATACTGAGGTAGTTTGGTGGAGTTTACAAAGATTAGTAAACGCGAAAGAGGCAACATTTTACTGTCATACGAGCATTCATATAACATCTAACATTTCAGATTTTAGGAGTATTTTAATTCAAAAAAATGGATATATAAGTTAGTTCAAAACCAATGTTTTGCAAAGTATTATCTGAAGATTCTTTAAGAAAGTTGTCCAAAAAGTATCCAGTTTGTATCATAAAACTCGGTCAAAGCCTAACGTTTGATCAATTTTTTAGTTCTATCGGATGTCATTTCAAATCAAAACAGCGTCATTATAAAAACTCTTACGTTCGTAGTTTTAGTCCGGTTAATTCTACAAATCTCGAGACTGTTTTCTCATATAAGACGTCTATTATTCCATTGTGGATTAGTTTGAACGTATTAGCAATAAATCAAATTTATATTTCCAAACTCATTTGGTCTACGATAACGGATGACCGTTTGAAAAAAGAAATTGCGTCAGTTCTTTTTGTTTTTGTTCAATTATTCATATTTCATAGTTATACAGATAGATATAAATGTGACAAAGTCTCAATCACTAATACTGTAAGAGATTCACATCGATTGAACAAAACTTTTTAACATGAATTTTACAAGGAAAGTGCCTGTGATTTTGGACACAAAAGAAGCGATGCTAAACGTCGAGGAACATTATTTGCATCCATCCACAACAATGTATGAGGTAACGTAGAGCCTGGTTTCTCGTTTAGCTCATGAAATATCGAACTAATAACTTTATGTATAAAAATACATATCATTGACTTAAAAAAAGAGTCGGTAGAAAAAAAAATAGAAGATAATATAAGATAAATAGAAGATATAAAAGTGATCGGTAGAAACGCGACGTCCCTAGACAAACATTTTTCGTTATTTCTAGTAAGAATCTTATCTGAGTCTTATCGGATTCTTACATAAGAAGTCTGCACAAAAATGGCAAGAATTTCGTACGAATCCTATAAGAATCAGGTAGGATTTAAATAAGAATGAGCTATGACTTTGATACGACGCTTCTATCACTTTCTTATCACTTCCTTATGAAATTCTTATCCAAAATCCAATCACCGTATTATTTTACAGAAGCACATACCATATAAGCACCACTGATTTCTTGAAAATTTTTCAAAGTTTCTTCAAGGTAGGTAAGAATGGTCGTTTTGAAAAGAAAATGCCTCGCGATCTCTTACATTCTCATTAATAAACTATACAGCTAACTAAAGAAAGAAAAAAAGCATCAGAAGTTTTTGTCAGTTCTTGCCCTTTTCTTGTCGAATTCTTACAGGATTCTTAACTGATCCTTATCTGTTTTTTATCAAATTCTTGTCACTTTCGTGCGGACTTCTAATGTAAGAATTCAATATGAATCTAATAAGATTCTTATACGGAGTCGTAGCGAATTTTGAAAAGTTTCTTATCAGATTCCTGTCCGAATCTTTTGTAAGAATCGATCACTAGGGGTAGAGATAACTGAAATAAGAATATAATAATCTTAATATTGTTATCTTTAAAGGCCGCCTGTGATGGTAATGAACGCTACTTTGATTCTTGGCTGTCATTGATGAAAAAAAATGGTCTGTCAATCGATACTATTAGAAATAAAGCGGAAAAATTAGACTGTGACCAATATTCCGTTTTACATTATGCTGTCAGATATCAACGGTTGAGTATATGTATAAGATTGATAGAAGAATTTCATTGTGGTATATTTCAGAGAAAAATTCCGTGTGTTCAATTGACAGTAAATTGATTCTTTTCTACTAGATTCAAATATTGTTGGATGTAATGGTGAAATACCATTACACACGGCAGCTCGGCATGAAGATGCAAAGTCCACTGAAGGTGTACTACATCAGCAGAATGGTTCTGTTCAAATATTAGCATTATCGGTACTAGAAAATATGGTTTGTACTCAATAATCTCATGAACCATATCCTCTAAAAATCAATTGTTATCTTAGCATTGTTATGAAAGACAAAGTATAATTGCTTATTTAATGAAGCATCATGGTAATATTTGTAAAAAAGATAATCAAGGAAGAACGGCTCTTCACTATGCTGCTATGAGAAACAATCATGTTAATTTAAAAGAATTAATCGAATTTGGAGCACCTGTTGATGTGAGTATATAACGTGTACGTAAAAGAGCAAAATATTTTTGATCGTAAATATATAGGCTCGGGACACAAAAAATGCCACCGCATTACATTTTGCTTCTCGTTTTAATGCTGTTGATTGTGTTAAAATACTAATTGAAAATCATGCTGTACTTGATCTACAAGATGTTGTGGGCAATACACCACTTCATTCGAGTATGGATAAAACATCAAGTCTCAACATTATTGATGATGAAAACATTACATCTTCATCCAATACAACCATCATTCTACTAGAAGCTGCTAAAGAATGCAGTAGTCAGTTTTTTAACTATTATTTGGAAATCAAGAATAAATACGGTAAAACAGCGATTAGTGTGGGATGTGAACATGGTCAAATACATTTAGTTAAAACACTATTATCTTACGGAGCAAATATACACAGTTGCAAGAGAGACTCAAGTGATCGTTTCCCAGCCATTCATTTGGCTGCCAAATCTGGCAATATTAACATAATCAAACTGCTCTTAAAAAACAATGTTGATATATTTATTACTAATATTTTTGGTGAAACAGCTCTACATATCGCTTGTAAATATAATCGAATCAAAGTGGTAGAAACATTAATCGATAAAATGAAGTACGATGAACAAGATAAACTGAAACTATACATAAATCAACGAGATTATCAAAATTTCACTCCATTATTAACAGCTAGTTACTTTGGACATGGTCAATGTATCAAACTATTATGGAATAATAACGTAAATGTTTTATGTCAAGATAATCATGGAAAAAATATACGTAAATAAATTAAAGATTTTAAAATATTGATAGATAACTATATATGTTATTTATATTTAGTTCATATATGTGCTGAACGTCAATATCAAGATGCTCTAAAAACTATATTGGATTTAATTAAAACTTTTAAACATGCTTACGAACTGTTGATTGATTCAGACAGACATGGTGACAGTGTTTTACATGCAGCAGCCAAAAGTGGTAACTTTGAAATTTGTCAAATGTTGATAGAAACAATGAAATATGTCATTTTACAAATACGAACAATGAATTCGATAAAATTTACTAAAGAATATTTAGCGATGATATTGAAGAAAAATCTGGATAAACGTACACCATTACATGAAGCAGCAAAATGTGGAAATATTGCTATTTTTAAATATTTCTTCAATAACATGAATGATAATAATTTATGTTCGTTAAAAAAGGATTTTGTATGGATAGCAGCGTGCGAGGATAGCGATGATGAATTGAAAACAAGCTTACACATTGCAGCAGCAAAAGGTAAATAACAATTTAATTAGAAAATATTTCTAATTATCAAATTTTAGGTCATCATGAGATTGTACAATTATTAGTCGAAAAAGGTTCAAATGTTTGGGCATGTGATATGAACGATTCGACACCATTACATGAAGCAGCAGCTAAAAATCAATATCTTTGTGCAAAAATTCTACTCAATAATCAAGCACCACTCAATCAAGTTGATGGAAACCATTCAACACCTCTTCATCTCTCTAGTCAATATGGTCATTGGAAAATTGTCAAATTACTATTAAGATATGGTGCTGATGTTCAAATTGAAAATTGTGATGGTTATAATGCCATGGAAGTAGCTATATTGAATAATCATCAGATAGTTGTACATGAATTTATTGTTCATGATACGTGGGATAAATCAATGAGAAATGCTCAAATAAAACCATCTAATGATGATAAAGAAGATAATGATGATGATATATCGACACCAATGCGAAAACTCATATGTTATATGCCAATCGAAGCTGAAGAAGTTTTAAATCGATGTATGACTGAAGTACGTGGTACAGAAGATTATGGATATAAAATTATTTACAATTATGAATTTCTTGAAGATCAATTTTTTGTAAACAAATGGAAAAACGGTAACAATAGACACTTTCATTCATAAGTGTCATCCTTTTTGTTCTTCTCGTTTAGTTAGACATAGTGAACGAAACGTTCATCATCATCATTTACAATCTAAGATTAAAAATCAAAAAAGTATTTTATCATTGTGTAAACATAAGCAACAATATTCGACTGTTGTTTACACTACGCAAGGTTATACATTACAAAAAAATCATCCATTATTTATCATGATTACGAGTCGTCAATCGGACCTGTTAAAACATCCACTTGTCGATCGTCTAATTAAACGTAAATGGTTACAATTTTCTCGTACATTTTTTTGGATATTCTTTATATTTTATGGCTTTTTTTTGACATCCTTTACAAGTGCAATATTACGCGTAAAACATTCACAATATTATTATTCATTATTTAATCTGACTCTATCAACGGCCAGTTGCGAGACAATATCGTTACTAATTAAAAATGGAAATGGTACAATGGGAAAAAAAGATGTATCAGATACAACCATTAAATGGGTATTATGGAGTACAATTATTTTACATGTTGTAAAAAATGTACTACTGATTTGTGTTAGATTTAAAATGTTTTTAAGTATGAGTAATATATTAGAATTGTTGGCACTTATTTTAAGCATCATATTTTCATACGATTTTTATTCATGGCAAATGAATGTAAGATTTCGATGTTCATTTCAATGGCAATGTGGTGCGGCAGGAATTTTGATTGCATGGATCACGCTAGGTAAAATATATTTAACGACAATATGAATACGCTGTAAGAAAAACTTCTGAGAAGATCATGATTCATTCAAATCACAGATTTATTTTCACAATATTTGGACAGTCACTGCTACCATTTTCAAGTGAAAAGAGCTCTTTTGAATGAATCATGATCTTCTCAGCAGTTCTCTACTTCATTTCATTATTTAATCTTACTGCTCCTCGCTCTTCATTTGTAAGAAAAACTTCTCTGTTTTCTCAAAAGTAGTTTAGTGAGAAATTCGAAATATTTCTGAAAACACGATCGACATAAAACATGCTAAATTTAAGAATACACTTCCTCTCATTTTACAAAACAAAATTTCAGTTAAACATGATACATAATAGGGTGACGTGTACCAAATAGGAACCCCTAGTTCCCCACGACTTTTCACTAGGAAAATATAAATTTTTAAAGTTTTTCAGATACAACGTTTCTGATTCCAAACTATTTTTTTTGTTATAAGGAACCATTGTTTCACATTATGATATACGCAAAATTTCATCCAATTAGGCTCAAAGTTATATCATATAGATACTTAAGACCATAACTAGAGGTGTTAGTCGCGTCGACGCCGCCGAACGCATAAGATTTTTAAGAGACATTGCGCCGCTGAGGCTAATTGTTATGGAGAAAAGGAAAAAGATACTTCACTTCGGTCCCTCATCGCTTATTGTGTTTCTCTATCATTTAACATGACAGTAAACAAAATTTTCCAAAACTAACTTCAATCGATACAGAGAATTCTGTTCTTCACCAACATATTCTTCAATTGAAAGTATATTGAGATTGAGAATGAAATAAAATTAACTAATTAAAGATCTACGACATTTTCTCTTGATAGAATCAAGAGAAATCAATCTAGTAGGTTCTTCTACTTTGTATTACTCTTGTAGGAACTTTTCCACATAGCATCCACTTTGTAGATCCTACCTGACTCATTATGAAAGTGTATTAAGGATAAAATTATAAATCTTAAAAAGAGGTAGACTACACACGCTAACAAAAAAATCCGATTTATACTATCCGTCACACTATTGCATTCGTCTTATTTATTCTCATCCCTCTTCTGTACACGTTCGATTCTGTAGGTCGTTTTTTCATCTTACTTCTATAATTGACGAAGTCACTTACCTCTTTTGTTTCGTGTTCGTCACTCGTATATAAAGAACAATAATTTCTTCGGAAGAACTTGTCAATTTATTTTAATTTCTTATTAAAAACATTGATATGATCAGTACTTGGGTTACTCTCATGGTTCAGTCAAACAGAAAAGAAATCCTCGAAAATAAACTGCTAATGAAACTAAGACATAGAAATATCTGACGTTAAAATAAAACCGCATAAGTCGGTTCCGAAATAGTTAGATACATTCATCTTAGAATAAGACGCATATATCTGTCTAATCGGAACGGACTTATAACATCTTTTGTAGAGTGCATAGTCTATAAAAATTGTGCTAACCTTTTCGTTTATCAAAGAACTTATACACTCTATTTTCTTCAGTAATTTATGTTCAATTTTTATCGGCATCGGGCATCTATGTTGTGATGCTAGAAGTGATATTACGAAAATTTTTACGTTTTATTCCGATACTACTCGTTTTTATTCTTGGTTTTGGCTTTTCGTTTCATATGTTGCTGGAAAATCAAGATGTTTATAAAAACACATTTGATTCGCTCTTTCGAACAGCCCTCATGCTTACTGGTGAAATTAACTATGAAGATCATTTATATCATCCGGAACGTAATAACGGGACGTTTTATTATCAATTTATTTATGTATTATACATGTTATTTTGTGTATTAATGACGATTTTAATCATGAATTTACTGATTGCACATGCCGTGGGTGAAGTGCCACCGTTATTAGAACGAGCAAGTACAAGACATTGTATGATGAGAATAAAATTGATAATGGACTACGAAATTCTATTATCGACATTGGATATATTTATTCCTTATCTAAAACGTCGTATAAAAATTCTAATTGATAATAATCAAGAAGAAGTTATTTATCCTAATCGTATTGATGCTATTCGACGAGAATTTCACGATATAAAAATATTCTTTTCTAAAAATAAAATAAAAACAATGTTAACAAGTAACGATGAAAAGATAGATGAACTATTAAATGAACAACACAATTTAAAAGAGAATATTAGAAAATTACAAAGAGATGTGAAAGAAATTAGTTTAAAAGTCGATTCATTAACGAAATTATAACGCTATTTTGTTTCGCTCGTTTTTCCGTTTCTTGTTTTTTTTTCCCAATATTAAATTGGAAAAGAAATTTTTTAACTGATCTACTATCCTTTGATCATGAACCATATGACTATATACCACGTGAGAATAAAATAGTGATCGGTTATGTATGCGTTACAGACAGATTAAATCTGATGCTCTGTTATTTGCATGAAATCGTCCTTATGTAATGACGCTGGTACAAAGTCCGAGTCTGTTTCACACTGCGTATTAGCATCTTTGTTGAGATAAAGTACGAAAAGTCAGAAAAGACTGAAGAAGTCAAGATATTTCTCTCGTGACGAGAGTAAATCATTCGGCCAAAGTAAAATTTTGAGTTTATGATATACACTTGCTAAAATAAAACCAAGAGGTGAATGAAAAGACCAGAGCTCATACAATATGTCACAGAAGTGGAACTCCGTTTGTATTTTTCTGGAAGGTCAATGAACTAAAGGTTTTTATTTTTCAAAAAGTGCCGTGTCAGATGACACATTTGAAATGCCGCGTTTTACAAATGTGATATGTATACGATCAATTCTGTAACTGTCTTGTAGAATAGCATATGGACCATGTCCTGAAATGTATGCTGGGACAAAACACATCGAATATTTAGATATGGAAAGTACACTAGTCGAGAAGCTTGTGCTCCCACAGACAAGCATCTTGTTCCACGTTTTCTTAGACAAAAGTGATAAAGTGAGAGATCATTTTTAGTTATGATCGCATTTAAGATATTTCAAAAAAAGCTATGCTGGAATATAGATTAATCATTAATTAATCCTAATTAACGACGATTACGGACAGTTCAGCGGTTTACATTTTTATTTGCAAATCAATAGTTCTTTGAATTTAATGAAATTCTTAATTTTTGATGAAAATAGCTTAAAACCTAATACAGGTTTTTACTCCGTTCTTACATTTTCTTCTGAAAATTAACATTGCCACGAGATTCAGCGTGTTCGATAATCTATGCTTTCATGGTCTCAGAAGGTTCCAGAACGAAGAATTGAGCAGTCCCAGGGCTTCGGAAAAAATCTGCGAACCTCTTGAACGCTAAGTGAAACCTTTGTTTAGGTCTTATTTTGTAAAAGACACTTTGGACTATATGAAAAACCAGTTTCACAAATTTGTTCAAAAAAGGTTTATGCTTATGAAAATATAGATTAAACTGTCCTCTTTAGAATGACAAAAACGACAAGTCACTACCTTTTATCGTCCTTGAGTTATTCAAAAAACAACTATTGGTCTTATATTTTGGGATGGATAGTAATATTTTTTAAGAGCCTTGCCACTGATTGTGGCTCAACGAAGCACGATTGAGAGAAATTTTTGCTGACAAATCTCTTCCTTAGGTGCCTTAAACTTAAAGTTATATTTTTCTCAAAATTTTTCCGTTACACTGAAAAAAGTATTACACTCGGTACCTCATTGGAAGAGATTTGTCAGCAAAAATTTCTCTCCATCATGCTTTGTTGAGCCACAATCAGTAGCAAGTCTCTTAAAAAATACTAGTTTTCTGAAAAATCGACATTTCAAGAACAAACAAAATTTTTGTTAATCGAACTTAATTCGAAGTTCGTAATAATTTCAGCATATAAGCAGTTCGATCTGGTTGATCGATCGGACCCATTCTTCTCATTAGAACACGCTTCTTTAATGAATAGTGAACTTTTTAAAAAATCTCTTAAATTTCCGTAAATTTTTAAAAGTTAAAAGAAAATGAGAAGAACGTGTCTGGGAGGTCCGAACGTGTCACGATATATGTAAGTCGGCATAGGCAACAAATGTAAAAAACTAGGGGATTCGTCCTTCCCTTAAAAGACGTGTTGTACCTGTAACGCCTGGAAGACACCTTCGCAGGTTTACAAGTCATTTTCTCAATAGATATAAGATTTTCCATGATTCTAGAATATGTATAAAATTTGAAACAAGTCTTATGAAACTTGACTCTACAATATTATTACACTCAATCCTTTTTTATGCACGCTTTAATAAAACTTTTGTCGCCAATATCTTCTCTGTCAGACCTTCGTTTTACGAGATTTTCATACGTTTATGTCAGGCAAATCCAACTGAAATGTCTCATCGTTACACTAACTTTCTCCGCTTCATTTAACACTAACCTATCTTTATAGAGCTCATCAAATTATGTAAGAAACTGTCTTTTCTGACTTCATAGCTGATGCAGAACCCGAGAAAAATGAGATGTGTGGACAAAGTGTCTAAAGACGAATTGACGAATCGCAATTTTTTATGCATAAAAATGATGCAACAATTCGCGTTTTACCCTTATTTTGCGAATTCGTACCGAATTGATGCGAACTGTATCGAATTCGTACGGATACTCTTAAAAACTTTTACGAATTCTTCTTGCGAATTCGTAAA